TATTTTTCCTTTAAAATGTTACATTTACTCAGATTAAACTTTTGATCCGTCATCTATGTTATAATAGGAATAAAATATTGACATTTGCCATCTCCACATCATTACATTCAGTTTTTATTCACAATTTATTTAGTGTCCCAACTTTTTTGAATCCGGTTTGTATATCGTTATCGCCACCCTTCACAATACATATTGTGATATGAATTTTATGCCATATCGCACATTCCTAATATATATACATATATACTGCATATGTATGTATATATTTCTTCTTCTTTTGGCTTTTCTCTCTTCAGGGGTCTCCACAGCAAGTCATCCTCCTCCATCTCAGCTCTGTCTGTCCTCACTCCAGCTACCTCCATGTCTTCTCTATCTGCATCCATATATCTCCTCTTTGTCATTTTCCTGGCAGCTGCATTTCTAACATCCTTCTACCAATATACCCACTGTCCCTCTGGACATGTCCTGACTAGGGATGCACCGATCCACTTTTTAAACTTCCGATCCGATCCCGATACCTAAATCTGAATACCGGCTGATACCGATCCAGTTCCGATATCATCATCATCATTGATTTTATATGAGGCTGTAATAATCTCCTCTCAAGTACAATTTGTACAAATATATGCTTGCATGTCCAAAAAGACAACTTGAGGTAAGTTTTATTAATGTTGGATAAGTTTTAAAGTTAGAATTAAATTCTGCTAACACAAAACATGTTTATTTTTATTCCTAGCTTTAAAGTGGATATTAAAGTGATTAATTTAAGTGATTGTTTAAAGTTATTTTATATTTTTTTAAATAAGGGGCAGGTATAAGAATGTTTTTCTTCTTTCTGCACTCTTTTCATTCAATGTTTTCTTTTATGATTTTTTATTTTTATTTTGTTTCTTTTAAATGAATGAATAAATGATTAAAATAAAATATTAAATGGCTTCAAACACCTGCTAAGTTACTGGCATAAACCAACAGACATGTTCCTGCTTTTAGTATTTTATATCACTTTATAATGTAGCTGTTTTTGTTTCGTTTTTTCATATATATAATTTTCAAATCATGTACTGATAAATATCTCCTGGAGGGTAAACTATATCTTGGCTGCAAGTATCAAGCTGCGAAATCCTTCGTTTTCTACAACTGATAGTGGTTTATCATTAATTACAATGGAGTTTCTCAACTCCTCTGTAAACATTCGAGCTCCAGGGCTTCAGCGATGTCTTCTTCTTGTTCAATCCGAAGCAGGTAGCCTGATTTCAGTCAGCCGCGCTGAGTCTGCCTCTCCACAGAGACGGGCAGACTGAGTGGGGCAGATTGGACGCGGCTGGCCGGGGTCGAGTTGCCTTGTTTTGGGCAGTGGTGGGATGTAACTAAGTACAAATACTTTGTTACTGTACTTAAGTACATTTTTCATGTATCTGTACTTTACTTAAGTAGAGTTAAATGTGGGTACTTTATACTTTTACTCCACTACATTTTACATCAAGTATCTGTACTTTCTACTACACTACATTTCTATAATGAGTTGCATTACAAGTTACATTCATGTTGCGGCTTTTTGATTTGTTTGTTACTTTGAAAGTAAAGTGGTGAGAGAGGAGCTGGTCCATTGAATCACTGCAAAGTGGTCAGGTAACGTTAGGCCCGCCTTCAAGAAGAGCTGGGCCAATGACATATATTCTAGTATATATGCCACTGAGCTGGGTGCACCTGCAGCACCACTAACACACCCAAAATGTATTCAACCGCAAGAGAGTCAGCCAGAAAATACACGCCACCCATGTCCTTATTGAAAGACTGCTCAGTACAACAGAACAGATTCTCTCTCCCAAAAGAGCCAGATTGGACTCAAAAATCTTTGAAAACAACTTCTTCTGAACTTGAACAAGAAATTATTGCTGCAATATTAAAATGTGTCAGTTCATGGGACGTTAGGAAACAAGACGTCTTCAAATGTCTCGACACTCGGGTCCAAGTTTTAAAAATGGTTTCAGGAAGTTAAAATATTGTTCAATATTGACCCATTACAGGGTTGAATACTCAGTATTTTAACTAGAGTTGATGACAAACTGGAGTTGAAATATCAGTGGAAATGATCAGAGCCTATTCCTTTGTTAGTTGTGTCTAATGTTCCTTTTGTTCAGGCAGACAACTTTTACTTAAATGTGTTTACTGCAGTTAAAATGACACATTGGTTTTGATTTGTGTTAAATAAAAACTTTCAAAGGTAAAATCATTCCTCTTTTTTATTTTGATTAATGGCATTTAACTCTGCATGTCATCCCTGAAATTCTGACGCACAGAATCACAAGTCCAAGTGTGAACGGTGTCACAGAGTAAACACAATAAAATATGTATTATCTGCAGCATTGTTCATTAAAATGACACAACACTATTAATGTATTACAGAAAATATACATGTGGTTGGCAGACTTAAAGATATGTAGACCACTGCATTATGTAATACATTCAGGAAGTACTTTTACTTTTAATACTTTAAGTATTTTAAAAGCAAGTACTTATTTACTTTTACTTAAGTAAAAATGTTAATGTGGTACTTCTACTTTTACTAGAGTATATTTTTGTCTGTTTATTTGTAAGTAAGTAAGTAAGTAATATTTATTTATATAGCACCTTTCACAGACAATGACATCACAAAGTGCTTCACAAAGTAAAAGTAAATAAAATTTAAATAAAAGCCAGTCTGAATAAATAAGTCTTAAGATCATTTTTGAAAGAGTCAATGGAATCTGAGCAGCGCAGTGACAGAGGGAGAGCGTTCCAAAGCCTGGGGGCCACCACTTGGAATGCTCTGTCTCCACGTGTTTTAAAATAAGTTCTCGGAACTATCAGCAACATTTGATTTGAAGATCTCAAAGTCCTGATGGGACATAGAGGCTTCAAAAGGTCCAGTAAATATTTGGGAGCCTG